TCTTCCTCTTTACAGCCCTCACAGCCTCTTTTAGCCGATCCCTAGTGTCTTTGCTCTCACCCCTACAACCGTTCCTCCTTTTTCCTCCTGACCTTCCTGAGCCACAGCTCATCACTCTGTCAGTCATGTGCATCCACCCAGCCTCACTGACTTACACACTTGTAGTTTAGATTTCAAATCACTTTTGATTTTTGTAAAGCTCCTCATGATTTAAGATATTAATCTTTTTGTCCTGCAAATAACCTCACAAATTTAAATAGTGTATTAAAGCACTTGCTTTAATACACTATATAGCTAATGCTGGCTTATGTTGGCAAACTTTGCTGTGTAACTGACATTATTGAGACTCATTCTTTTCTTGTGTTGTGTTATCTTTTCGCATTTGCAATCATCTTGTAAATGCCCCTTGTGGCCACTGTTTAGCAAAAGTTACAAAGCCTTTTAAAATCTTAATCTCAATACTACAAGATTTAGACAGTTCCTCTTTGACAAACCTGGACAATCTACATTAATTCTTGTTTTGAGATTGACTGCTCCACTATCTTGCTCCACTACATTTATCTTATCTTGTCTATAATTAATATATACATTCTATAGCAGGCTGTTCAAGTGTAATACATTATACTCACAGGTGTTCCCATTATGTTATCCACCCCGTTTATATCAGTGAGGGAAATAATTGAAACAGTTGAATCAACATTTCTCTAAAACTATTTCAACACAAAGTGACCATTATAACATTCATGAAATGACAGGAATTGTTTCAGCTATAGGTGGAGCTAGTTTAAACATTAGTTTTAGCTTTGGCTATAGCTAGGTGCTTTAGTTTTAGCTAAGTGTGCCTAATAGGCCATTATAACCTTCATGAAGGAGGATTTTTCTGACAGGACTAGGTGTATTATTTATGTTTATGTTATGTTATCTATGTTTTTATTATTCAGTATTTCTTAAATATTTCTTATCTATCTGCATATCTGTCTTCTCTTCTGTGTTGTGCTTCATTCCCTCACTGTGGCAGCTGTAGCAGTGAGTCAGCAGCAGTCAGCCATAGAGCTCTACCACCACCTAGTGCTTTGCAGTGGGCCTTTCTAGTTGTAACTGGTAAGCATGAAACATGCACATAGGAACAGAACATTTTTACGTAAGGATCAGCATCCAAAAGGTAAATGCTCTTGTTTCTTATTCATTTAATTGGCTTTTGCATTGTCAGGATGTTGGCTCAGTGGCATCACACTGCAGAAATAGTGCAGTGATAGTGTAATGCAGTGGAATGCAGATAGACAGATATCTGTGTGGGGAAAGCTCAGAAGCTAATGAGTATTCAGAGGAAGATACCAACACGTCTGCAAGTAATCAGAGCAGAGAGATAGAGTTTGTGAGGATGTCATTGATAAGCAGGCTGCAACAAAGGAGGCAGACTGGTAAAGGCCCTTGTTAATGGAAATCACAACTGAACTGCCGACACTGGCAAGCATAATAAATAGTTTTCTTTGTGCTGTTGTCTCTCCAGTCACTCAATTTTCACCACTTTCATTTTCGCTACAATCAACATTTCTTTGTTCTCGTTTTGACAGACACGAATTCATCATCAGCGGAAGCACTTATCTTTACCACAGAGTGCTGTGTGAAGCATCATTAAGGTATCAACATGAGAGCCATAGCAGCTGCCATCAGACTCTGCAGGTGGAAACAAAAGAGATTATCTCACAATTGGGTAGTGGAGATTGATAGTTTTGGCACGTCCCTCCTGTTCATTTGGTATTCAACAACATTAGATTTTATTTGATGTGATGTACTTTTTGTAATGCCCTCTGAATATGGTGCAGGATCAGCCAGCAAGTGGGAGTACGTATGTTGCTCAAGGACATTTCAGAAAGCTAAAAATGATGATCTCTCTTACTACTAGCTAATTTTGCAGCCTGATTTGGGATGGGAGCTAGCAAACACTGAAAATGGTGACTACTTTCATATCGAGTATAAATCCAATCTCACCGCCAAGTCCAGCTGGTTAACTGCCCAGGTAGGCAGCAAAAATAGTCCCGTTAAACTAAATAAAAGGTTAAATTAGCATTTAAAAATGCTTATGTTTCACAAAGAAATTACAATAGGTACTGAAGTGTGTGATGTAAGTTTTATTTGTGTTTTCTCCCTAAACAGTAGATGGCAGCATATTGATAAAAGATGTTGGATTCAATAGATGGTCATCAGGGTTGCTTGTTTTTCTGCATAGGACTGTGTAAAGTCTTTCAACAATGATATTCAGTCTCACTGAATTTAAGGATTGATGTCTTAGGCCCCTCAAAACAGACCTGCGATACTGTTAGTTTATTCCTGTGAAACTTCAAAAAATAAAAACTCCATCAGGCAAAACACAAAGGTATGAAAAGAAAGGTTGTAATGTTTATTTGAGAAAGTTAAAAAAATACTGGCTGAACTTTCTTTTTCCAAGAGAACAAGTGGCAGACATCGGTTTACCTATAATCTATTCAAGTTATCATGTTATGTTGGATTTGTAGTCATGTATGAATACTATGTTCTCTGCATTGATGACTGTAACCTTTAAAGGTGAACAAGATCCTTGTCCTTGACACTCCATGACAAACTCACTTAAAGCTCCTTTACTTTCACTCTACAACTTCTAAAAACAAGTAATGTTATATTATCCATGAAATTTATTCATAGATCATGCATTTCTAATCTTTCAGCCTGTTTTATCTCTACTGTCCCTGTAAGGTGAAAAATTACTTATAGGGCAGAGAAAACATGAACAAGCACCTGAAATGTATGGATGTAAAGAAGATTTATGTCTGGTAAAACAATTAATAATGAGGGAATTCAACTGGATTTTCACTCTAGAGACTGTGGAACCATATGGTTTAAATTAAGTACTTGACTAATATTAAATGGTCATTTTTTGCTGATACAATTTTTGTAACAGTAATAATGTATTTAGTCACCTTTTTCTTGTTATTTTCATCTTTCAGGTAACCACAGAGTCCCTTTACTTCCCTCTACTCTAGTTTTGTCAAAGTTCGATTTATGAAAGAGTGGAGTGTTAAAATCTAGTGTAGTAGTCTTGATATTTTGCCTACTTCCGTAACTGTTCTTTATGTGCTGATCCTATTTATCTTGTATATGACCTTGCTACTATATGCTTGGATATACTGTCGTAATTTTCCTTGTTTGCAGTCTAATTCTACTAATGTCAGTCTTGAGTTATCGTTCATGTAATTTGCATTATTCTATCTTTATTTGCATATATTGAATAGTATAAACTGTAATCTTATTTTATTTATTGCTAAATTGTAATTATAAAATGTTATCCATGTAGTCTCACACACATGATTGGTGTCTTCTACTGTATATAGTATCATACTTGTATCATACCTGATTTTCTGTCCACACAAAAACTCTTCCTCATTTTCATTTTCTAAGTGGTCCTAAACCTCAACTTTAACCTTAGTGAGCTTCTTTCATTTTAGAATGTCTGCCATATAAATGTAGGTATGCTCTAACAATTAATTTTCATTGTCCCTTGAAAGAAAATAAATCTGATGTGACAGAAAATTAACCAGCATTAACTTTAACAAATCCACCACAGATAAAAAGCTTCCAGCTCTGACACCATCACAGAAGATGGACTTTTACATCAGACATTGGTTATTATAAAATTACTGCAGTCAATCACTTGAGCTGAAATTCTATTTAAAAAATAATGTTTTCTTTTTTCTCTTTTTTTTTTTTTTTTACCAGAATACCTTTTAAGTGGTTATTTAGACTTTAATTGGTCCTCTTCTCTTTTCCTCTTCACACTTCATCTCCTCCAAGTAATTCCCTGTCAGGAAGTCTGTGATTGTGACAGAAGAACAGACAAGAAGGAGGCACAGTAGTGATAAAAAGTTTTAAGGAGGATTCATTTGTGGTGCTATGCTGAGTCATTGTACTACTATCTTGTGGTGATAAGTGGAACCAAACGACTATCCTGACCCCACAGTCATTGCTGCAGACCTGCATGGCCAGAGAGACTGGAGGATGACTTGATGGCCACTTCACAGCTCCACTGGAGCAGCTGACAGCTCAGTTTCTTCAAGGCACTCCAGATGTGCCCCTTGTCTATTTTTATGATTTTACAGAGTCTAAAGTTTGACCTGTCAATCATAAAGTTCAGAGTTTCAAATAGCCACTGCCTTGTCATTCATTTGGATTGGTCACAAATTGTAATGAAGTCGTTTGAAATTAACGAAAGCCTAGTGTCAGTGTCAGCAGCAACGTCAGTGCAGCATGTTGAGGCTCATTAGTTTGATTTATCAAAAAAAGAGATAAAAATACGAAACTATTACACGTTCCCTTAATTTAATATGGTACGATCAAAAAATTATATTTTTTCATTTAAAATGAGTGTTGCGAATTAAATGGCTGAATGCAGCACAGTCAGGGGTGATGTCTTGTTGTTAACAGTTTTGTTTATTTCAAACAGACATGAAAGGTAAGAAAAATAGACATGATTTCATGGTGTTGCACAGTTAAGTGAGACAAACAAAATAAACATCAGTGTTTCACAGTGCATTCCTGTGCACCACCCATGCAATAAATACTACTACTCTTGTGATGCATATCGTTATTGTTAAGAGATTCATACTGTTGTCACTTTAACTTTATGTTGTGGTCTGGTTTTACTCACGCTCTGTAATCTCCTTTTGCAGCGAATGATGAACTGGTGGGGGTGTGTCTGGGTGGGAACTAACTCCAAAATACAAATCACGTGTTGGCTCGAGTTCTTTACGTGTCGAGAAACACCGCCCTCCCGCGGAGTATGGCAGTATGGCAAAAATAACAGCACCTCAGGACTAAACCATTCACTTGTCAACGCAGAGATGCAATCACAGATTATCAAAAATCTGGCAAAAATACCACTAAAGCCTTAATATTATTGAATAAATAAAACTGTAATTTTAGCAAACACAAATACTTACACTTGTCCTGTGACAGACATTTTTGTAACATTAATGAGGATTGTTTTGCTCCCCGTGCATTGAAAGAGAGTGGTGCGGTCCAATAGTATTGAAGGCAAAGCTGAAAAACGGTTTGTTTTTACCGAGGGGAAGACGAGTTGCAGTTGTTAGCCGCCGCTGCACCTATTTTAAAAACGGTTGTAACATTTCTTATATATCTGGTCGGTTTTCAGACAGCACATTTCTTAGCTCGCCATGGCTCTGTGCGGGGGTGTCGGAGCCATGGCTTTGCCCAGCGAGCTTATCGTCCATATATTCTCCTTTCTGTCCGACCGAGACAAGCTCCGGGCCTCGGCGGTGTGTTCACGGTGGAGGGAGTGTCTCTTCTACCCCGCACTGTGGACCGAGCTCAAACTGCGGATAGGCGGTGGGTGTAACGGCGGCGGCTCCAGCTCCGAGGAGACCCCAAAGCTAGAATTCCTCATGCGGAAGTTCGGTTCTTTTGTGCGGGAGCTGCAGCTTGAACTCGCACCGGTAGAAGGCTACCTTAGCCCTCTGAACAACGAGCCGCCGTCCACCAGGATGGACCAGCCTCCCGGTCCCGATGGCGACCCGCAGCTCTCCGAGCGATGGAGAGACGCCATGGCCACCTACTTGGACCAGGTGTTGTGTGTGTTCACCAGCATCCGCAACAACAGGTAACATTACATTCGCTCTGAGACGTCTTTCTGAACGTTTGTTTTTATTCAGTTTTCCGGAATTCGCGTGACACAATGTAATTTTGTTGAAATTTCATAGTATTTGTTGCGTCGCAGTAAGCTAGGAGCTAGCTAGCTCAGTTAGCTATAAACAAACCCTGACATTAGGAGTTACGTAATCAGGACATGTCTTTGCGGTAGAGCTAGCACCCAATGTTATCTTTATGTATCTGAAGACATTGGTTAAATAATGATATTTAACTGCCTAGTTTTACATTCACTGTCTTCAAATAATAATGTATGTATGATGAATGCGTCAGTGTCAGTGCCAAGTCAAATGCTCGTCTGCGTTTCTTTTGTTGCCAGTTCTATTTTCCATGTTGCGTTGGTCTCCATACCAGCAGATACAATGCAGAACTGGTGGTGGCTAGAGAAAGCTTTGTTGCGTGTGACTTGCTGATATCAGCACTGACACACACATATACAGTGTATGTGTGCATATATTTAGCTCTGGTATGTCATTGCATATTGTAGGATGTAATCACCTATTAGCACCATAGATCAAATCTGGTCACTTGGATAATTTCTGCAGTGGAAGTTGCTATTCTGTAAAACTTTTCCTTTGAATGTCGAGATTCCTGATTTCAAGGCAGAACCTCTATACCTTCTCCCACGTTCTCTATTATTCTCTGCACTGCTTTGTAGTATTTAAATAGCAGCCATCCAAAGCTGTGCAGTTCATGTCTTATTCTGCTGAGGGGGCTGAAACATTTTCTGTTGTCTGAATCCTTCTTACTGAGCAGTTTCCATTCAAAAAAATCTAACCTAATCTGAGTCCCTGTTCAGTGGTGTACACTAATTCTTACATGGCTTTGAAATGTGACAATATTAGGTACATCCAGTATGTATACAGAAGTTGCTTAATTTTTGGATGTGGTGTTCATGGTAAATATTGTTCCACCAGAAATAAAGTATCATGTAAGAAAAGTTTTTATTTCTCTTTAGGGAGCTACCACAAATTCAAAATTTGGAAAATTAACAAAGTTGTATCGGTTAGTCCATGACTTGCATCATTTCCTGTCAATACAAAGCAATAAAGTGTTTTGATTTCTTGTATTCTAAAGATGCAGTGAAGATTATTATTTAGTTCATATTGTAGAGTATTACATTGTAGTATGGAAGCAGGACTTAGCTCCTGTCCTTATTGAAACTCAAATAGGATTTGCTGCATGCTGTGTTCAGTTTCTTATTTCCAGACAGCCATGAGCAAACCTGCAATTAAAAATGTTCATTTGGCAAGTGAGTAGTTTTATTAGTATCTCATAATAAAATATGTCATAGTCAGCTAAGTATGTTATTTGGTATTTCATTGGTAATCAGTAACAATTCAAACCAGTTGCCCACTGCCCCAAACACATCACTTGACAGCTGCTATATCCAACAGCTCTCATGTTCTGAAGTAGTCTGTGTTTCTTTCAACAAACACATTGGTCCAACTCCACTGGTGCTGGTACATGTTCAAAATAATGAGAACAGGTAACTTACTGTTCCATTATTAGCAGTTTCGCACACTAAGTAGCTGCACACAAGTCTGCTGTTGGTTTCGTTGCAGAGGCTTAGCTCTCAGCTGGTTTACAGGAAGTGGGCTGCATAACATAATATACACAGTACACAGTAATGTGTTGCTGCATGGCACACATGCGATTGATGACCATTTCCCACAACTTACATCTTCTAAACATTAGTGTCAAATCAGATGTAGACTGTCTGTTCAGAAGAATGTAATTGAGCACATTTTGACCTCTATGCTTACCTTGACTGCTTTTCCAAGCCCCAACTTTTGGCATATAGACTGCGGCTTGATTGCTGCCAATCTATTTTGGGTATGGGGATATAAAGGGCTCTAGACAGCAGTGCAGGGCAGCCATAATTCTGTGGTGACAACTTGGCAATATACAGACTAGGGATAGATTAGTTTGCCTTATTAAGTTGTTTGGATTGGAAATGGTTACACACAAACTCTAGTCTAGCTGCTGTTGCTTCTGTTGATAACCACCAGACACCACTCATGTGCAATGTGTGATAAAACCAGAAAAACAGCTTGTACCTGTAATGAATTAAACAAATGTTGACAGAACAAGACAAATTATAATAAAACCTTTGTCTTCAGATAATTGCCAGGGGATGTTATATGTTCCTCTGTCAAATCAGTCAGTTAAAGATACAGACAAAAATTTTATGGGCTTGTAGCGTAACTAGGCTACCACCTACTAAATTGCTCTTGTTGAAAATTGGAACATCACTTTCTACTGAAGGAGAACGTATATAAACCAAATTTGTCTTTTATTCAAATGTTTTATAAATGACACCATATCACACTGATGTTTTTCCAACAACAAGGTGTCTTGTTTTTATAGATCAGTCTAGTACTGTTTCTGCTTTCTAACTTTGCCTCTCTCATTTTCTAGAAACCTGCAGAAGCTGAGTCTGTATGGAGACACCTGTATTCTCCAGCAGGAAGGACTATTAGACAGCTCTAACCTGCACCAAATTCACCAAGGGGACAAAAAGATCAATGAGTAAGCACACTCAACAGAGAAGTAATTTTCTGTAGAATGTCAGACATGGTTAGATATTGTAGTTGTTTCTGTCCGTAGAATGGTAACTTGCATTGCAAAGAAAAATGCACTTTATGTAAATCTGCAGTATGCTATTATTTTTGTAACTGATTGATTGCAGACCATTATTTGATGAAATACTGGGTATTGTCTGTAGCCATTGATATTCAGTTTTGCTTATGTGGGAATCTTAATTTTAAAATGACACTGTTGCAACCTTTGTTGGATTGGAAGCAGTGTGGGGTTTTTTTTAAAATAGTAATTAAATAACAAAATGGGGGGATGTTCATAAGACAGTTTGACATCATCCAGTTAGAGGGCATGCAGCATCTCCAGCATCAGCACAGCACACAGTGTATCCACATCAAACACACTCACCGTGTGTAACCAGCTGCCTGTCAGCAAACTGCTGGTATAATGTAGCCTAGACTGCTAAGGTGCATGCTCTGTGGATCAGTTTCTAAAGGGGGGGGTGGAGACCAGGAGCAGCAAATGATGATGTCATGTTTTTAAAATAACATGCTAATTAGCAGATCTTGTCCCTGGTAGATTCAATGTAGATTTCAGAATCTGTGGTCAGATCTTCAGTCTAAGAAAATAACCCTGTTGATACCCTCAGAGCTACCTGAGCATGGACTTGGAGACGTCGGTTCCATACGTCTTATATTCCCAAATAAAAGCATAAAGGAAAAAGCAAAATATTACATTTTCCCAGTGTTGTATATCTTTCTCTTTGCAAAAATCTATATCCTGATTTGGATCCTGTTTTTCTTTCGTTGCCCCCAAGGTTTATTTTCAGGTTGAACGGGTCTTATGGGTGTGTTAAATGAACCTTGTAGGAAGCTGTAGTCATGCTGGAGAAGTGAATTTAAGCTAATTTTCCTCCTGCTTCTGTTCGTTAACCCTTCCCCTCTACTCTCTGCAGAATCCAGCAGCTGTTCATGGAGTTGCTGTCTAACAGCAGGCAGCTAAGGTGGTTGTCCTGTAGCTTCATGCTGGGTCTGGTGACTCCCTGCTCCTTAGCTTGCCTGTCGAATCCTTCAGCTGAGACCCTGCAGCACCTCAGTTTACTGGACCACCAGCTAGGTATGCATTTTTCTGGTATATCACAAGCTTGGCGGCACGTACTACATGACTGAACAGTCCCTTCAAAGCTCAAGCTCAGTATTTATCTACAACATGTCACCTTTCTTGAATTGTCCTCAGGCCCCCTCATCTCACCATCAGAGTTAGATCGCCTCTCTAATCTTAATTCCCTGGCTCTGGATTTCTCCGACTTGACATCTGAGCTTTGTGGTCTGCTGGCATCTCCACGCCGAACTCCACTGCATCGCCTCTCCCTGCTGCTCAATGGTGCTGCCCTGGAGTTCAAACCATTAGAAGGGACAGCCACAGAGGACGATTGGAAGGCACTGGTAATGCAACAGCTGTCTCTGATTCTCTGTGTTGCAGGGGCTCTGTTTGATGACAGGATGTGAATGTTTGTTGAAATGTACCAATAAAGCATGAATACATCAATCAAGTTTACCTGATCCTCCCCAGGTTCGTGTGAGTGCCAACCTGCGAGTGTACATTATGGCCCTGGAGGTAGACAGCTCGGAGCTCCTCAGGGTCCTGAAACCTAGCCTTCCTCTGGAGCGCCTCCACCTCGACAGTTACAGCACGCTGGTGACTGATGCCACATTGGAGCTCATCTCTCAGCAGTACAACAAAACGCTGACTCACTTCCTGCTTCTGAGGGATGACCCCGACTTCCCTGACCTCAGTGTCAATCGTAACGAAGACCCCTTGGTTCTCTTAGCATGGAGATGTACTCAGCTGGCTGTACTGGTGATACATGGTAAGTCCAGCTTGTTGTTTGGGGATATATACAGTTACGGTCAAATTGTTGGCACCCCTGAATTTTAAGCACAGATTTTAGAATATCTTCAGAAATGTATTTTATTTATTTATTTATTTATTTATTAGATAATTTACTAAAATGTCCAAACTTATTGAACAACAACAGAATTGTATGAAAAATTTTCATAGACTGAAAAAAAAAAAATACAGACACAAAATGTATGTTGGACACACCTTTTAATGAATTTAAATGAGTTCCTAAATAAGACTCACCTGTGCTTAATTTTCAGTGTTCACATGACCTGAATTAACCAATGAATAATGGTTTATGGACAGGTTTTTTTTTTTCTCCACTGTCTTTTTGACAATGGTGATGGACAGTGGTCTGAGTGCATCGCAAATGTTTTTATCAAAAAAACATAACAGTTCCAAAAGCGACAAAATAATCACCAATGATCTTGAAATCCCCAATTAAGTAGTTCATAATATTATCAGAAAGTTTCACAGCCATAAAACTGTTAAGACACTTCCAGGATGTGGCTCTAAGAAGAAACTCAGTGAGAGAAGTCAGTGAAGATTGGTACATATTGTTGAAAAATACCACATAAGACATTTAAACAGCTTCAGGCTGACCTGAGGCAATCTTGAGTGGTGGTTTCAGCCCGTACCATACGTTGCACCTTAAACTAAGTAGGACTCCATAAAGGCTACGGTGGACACCAGTGTTAAAAGGCAAAAAGGCAAAAGTTTGCAAAATGGATAAGCCACAGTGTTTCTGGGATAATGTTCTATGGACATATGAAACCAAAGTAGAGCTCAGTTTATTTATAGGCAATGAAATGAAGCCCATAAGTGAAACATGGTAGAGGCTCTGTCATGCTGTGGGGCTGTTTGCTGCCTCTGGTACTGAAGGCGCTGAATGTACAATGGCGCAAACTACCAGCAGACACGTGCAAGAAGCTTCCTGATGGCTAAAAGAAACACTTGGCTGTCATTGTTCCCAAAGGTTCTGCAACCAAATATTTTTGGTAAAGGTGCCAATAATTGTGTCCAGGGTACATTTTGTGTTTTGTATAATTTCACTATTATGCAATTTGGTTTTTTTAGTGGCATCATTTATTGTTTGTGTGGTAACTCAAGATAATGAGGCCGACAGTAGTTCTTTTCCAAAACCAGATACAACCATAAACTAAATGAGTGGGTTTTGGCCACTTGGGTCAAAAAGCTTTAGACACAACACTAAAATACTATTGTGAAGTTGTTATGTCTCACAAACATTTTTACACAACAAGTTTTCTCCATCTCTGAAACGCATCACCGATATTGATACATATGCATCTGAAAGGTCGTGCACACTCATCTGTATGTGTAGAACAGCCAATGGGATTGCTCTCTCACTGATTGGCCAAAGTCTCTAGCCCTGGGCTAGATTGTCTAAGGTCTGAAAACAGAACCAAGAGGAGGTTGGTCAGACCACTTTAATTATCATATGCTGAAAAGTGATTGTGGAAGCTCAAAAACTGCTGTCTAGCCAAACTTTAAAGATTGTTTAGTGTCTGTGGTATTGAAGTTTCCTATGTGGGAAACAGAGGAGATTTGCTTAGTTACTGTTTTTAAATTCTGCTCTCCACCTGGCCTAGACATTGTAGTTAATATTTCCGTTTTGTCAGTGCTCGCCTGCAGCAACTGCCACTTGATCCTACGGGCATTGTGTTTGTCTGGAATTAGGTCAAAGTTCCATCTGGGCTGATGCATAAATAAAAGGAAGTGATAAATAGAAAGAAGGACGCCAAGTTCTGATGAAAGTAAATTCACAAGCTAATATGTTTTAATGTTTAATTCATACTGTCACGATTTATTAAGTCATGGTTTGTAGCCAGTGGTACGTTGAGTGTAAAACTGTATAGCATACTATTAGTCCTTAATATTGGCAAGATTAGTCCAACCCCCCCTCACTTCATCTTCCTCTGTAGGTTACACTGTGTGGTCCCACAACTTGGTGGCCATCTCGAGGCTGCGAGGCTCCAGTCTTCGGATCCTGACCGTTTCTGAGGAGAGCATCGACTTTGACCCGGACCAGTCGGTGTGCATGGAAGGCGACCCAGTCCATAACCTGGTCAAGGAGGTGTCGCTGGGCCTTGGCCGTGTCTGGCACCCATGCCTGGATTCTAGCCTGGTTTTGTCCGAACCTACCCAGCACTTCCACCGCGAGCTGCAAGCCTTCAGCATGGGCATGTAGGCAAGGATGGCAAATCCAATACATCACAGCCTAAACTGTGTCAAGACCAGACCAGACCCACCAGGTCCAAGTCAGCAGACCCAAGTGAGAAATCTAAACTGGATCTTAAAGCAGTCTATAAAGTAAATTCATGTGAACTGATGTGAGCTGATTGTTTTTATTTTATTTTTATTTTTTGTGTTGCTTTCACAGGGGGTTTAGCACACAATCAATTCTTACTGTTTTCCAACAGATTCCCTGTTTTCTTGCTTTGCCTCTTGATTATCATGTTAGCCAATGACTTAGAGAAAAGATTCAGTCTTTGAATTTTTTAAAAATAGATTATCCAATTAAGAATATTCAATTAAAAATAGGATATTATGATTAAAATTTGATATTCATTCAGTTTAAAGGAATACCAATCTGTGATATCTGACCACTGACAGGACAGTTTTTAATTTGTCTGCTAAAATGGTTCATCCTGCCCCTTCAAATGCCCTCTTGTCCGACATGGCCCAGTCTGGTCTGGTCTTGCCCACAAGAAGTATTCAGAGCTCGATGTCTCTCCTTCATCTTAATAACCTCCAAGAGCCTCTGTATAATGTAACTTTGATTTGTTTTTGTTGTTGTTTTATTTTTATTTTTTTTTATTTAACTGTTTCCATCTCTCCCTGCTCTGTGTATAATCTTGTTTTTCCTGTGTGGTGGTTCCCTTGCCTGTATAGGCTTTGTATGTATTTAAATACAGATATATTATTATCCTGCTCACAGCTAGGACAGAACAGGCAGGCGGGTTGAGTGATAGACTGGTGGGATTGCGGGGGCGGGAGCGGGGAGGGTTGTATTCAGACACAAGCTATTAGCTTTAGTTGTGAAACTATTTTGCTTTTCTTTTTAAAAAAAAAAAACAAAAAAAACTTTGCTCGGTCAGTCTGTCTGTCCGCTCCACTCTAGCAAACGTTGGAGTTTGTAAACTAACTGATCAATCACTTCCTGGGTAACACAACCTAAGCTGCTTCTTCTGTTGCTCTGAAAGAACACCTTGTGCACTTGTCCACTTGTTCGAGAGCCTTGCCAGCAGGGTGGGAAACTCCACTGTAAAATGGCCGACTGTGGCTGGTGCTAATCAATTTTAATGCAGTTCTCAGCAACAGCCATGTCAGTGCCATGACTCAGATAATCCTTAGGTGAGTGGCATTTCGAAGCCAAATGCTTCTGTTAAGGGTTTTCAGCACCTTACCAATGGTGTTATGGAGAATATTGTTACATGCTTGCAGCCAGCACACTTCCCACCCTGCTCACTTTTTGGGGAAACCTCACCAGTTGACTGAATAGGGAGCCTCGTCTTCCGACTGACATTCAGAGCCAAACTATGAAAATTCAGCCCGTCACAATACAGCACACCCCTACTGTGTTCTGTTTTGATCTGTAGTGAGCTGGTCCTAAATCATTGCATCTTTTTTTCTGTATTCAGGATGAATATAAGCTGCCTTTTGCTCTGCTCTAGAGGTCAAAACTTTCCAACTAGCATCACTGGTTTCAGAGCCCCTTTTGTATTGAAATGTCAAGTCATCAAGTCAAAGAAAAGAACAGGAGTGGGCACCATAATATGAAGGGCTCTGTGATTTAAAACAAAAACAAAAAAAAAGTAGTTCTGTATTATTTTAAAGAGGAAATAGGTTTTCACTCCATAATGCCATATATGTATCTGTGTTTTGAGATATCTCTGTAACTACTTCCAAAGGCCATGCTAAAACAGCACCAGTATTCTGTAGGCACAGCTTCTTAAGGTGGCAAATACCAAACCCAGGTTTCTGCAGTCATGCCAGCAGTACTGTAGGTAGGAACCAGTTTTTCTCAGTGGCAGCAGGTGTTCTTGTTTTGGGGTAAAAGTAAGAGTAAGACCAGGGAAAAGAAGAGGATGCACTGAATGTAACTCAACTCTCATTCTGTTGGCCAGTCAGTCAGTTTTACTGTAGAGTTATATTTGCCGCAGAACTTTGGCAGATGCACGTCTTGCCAACAGCGGGGATTGCTGAATAAGTGAGTTTGGACGTTGTAGGTTTCACTGACAGATAAGACTGCTTATTTTTTCCAAGAAATGGCACCTACAGCACAGCGTAGTTTTGGGTTGTTTGTGGCAAAAAGTTTTCTCTGTCAGTCTCAGGTAGGCTTTTAACATCACTATGACCACGACCGTGGTGGTGATGGTGTCGCGGCGGGTGTGTGAAACAATCAGTTAATGTGAGAAATAGTCTTTTTTTTAATTTCCTCTTGAGTCACAGTTGCCTTTGAAGCAGTCCCTTTTTTTCTGGATACAGTTGTTGTTGTTATTGATGATGTTGTTTATCTTGCCATCTGATGAGCCCTCACACCGCCTTGGTTGGAGGGTCAGCAAACCTAATCATACATTTGTTTTCAAAGATTAAGGTTGATAAAGACTAAAGAATGGCAAAAGCAATCTGCTCATTGCACGTGTTATCTCTCCAGTAGATGATGTAGGGGGACAGAGAGTGACCGTAGGAAATCCATCCTGTCAATAGAGGACCTGCTGGGCCCAATTAATGTCTGAACTGAATGTAGTCAGTCTTCCTGGGTGAAGTGATGTCTGTCAGGCACAGTGGATCTTGTCTGGCTGTGCAGCTGGCTTGTTCTGCAGGCATTCATTAACAAAGGTGAAAGCATGACTTTGATTGAATCATTGTCTCTTTTATTGTCCAATTCTATTTTTTTTTTTAATCCCTGAGTGTATGCCTTTGCTCTAATAAAGAAATAAATGTTATTCAAGCTCTGTGGAAGCACTAGCAAGGCATGTTCATGGCTGACGCCAGACAAAATATCTTATGCTACAGACAAATGTGATTTTTGAGTATCACCAGTAGAAAACTGGGCCCAGTTTGGCTCTATCTGATGCTCCGGTGTTGTGACTGCTAAGTGGTTATGATGGTTGTGGTGCGCTGGTGTCTTATGAAGGCATGTCCTGAGCTGAGCTGGGATTTTAACAGGAAAATCAAAGTTAGGGTGGGCTATGGTGCACCTGCCTTTCACGAGCAAATGCTGTCAGCCTGCTCTTGTCAGGAAAGTTGCCCTCCCAAATGGATACAGCTCAGCTCAGTCTGAGATCAGGGCAATGGCATTGCAGACTGTGAAGGTCCATATCAAGGTCTATAGTTTACAAGGTTGACTTGCAGTTTTTTTTTTTTCCATAGACTGATATGGAACCAGAGTCACACGGCATGCCAGCACTTTGCTTGGTTCAGAATGGCTTGGTCCTGCTGATGGGCCTGTGGTTACCAAATGTTTGCTCGTCTGTTAAGGGACCTTGATGGTTTAGCCATGATAATCTCTCTAGTCCTTGGTCCATATCTCAGGATGAATGCACTTTGGTACCAAGAGTTTCTTTTAAAGGCTGCCCGTGGCTGTGTATATAGAGCTGTTCACTCACACTCAGAGGGGATAGCTATACCAACATAACACATTCAGACCAAAATATGTTGGTTTTTATCTTATCTTCCTCCTCCCTTCCTCTAATTCTCCCATTCCTCATTTTAGAAATCATGTTTGTTTCTGTGTAGGTTTGTGTTGTGTGTTAAGCAGGGAATAAGGAGGGAAATCACTGCAACTTTATAGTAGAATGTAATGTCAAACTAGATTTTCTCAGCTAAGCAAATAGACTTTTACAAACCACAGATATTAACAAGCCGATTTTACAGACTCCATCCCCAGCTACCATGTGTTTCCTCCTTTGTTTCCTGTCTTCTCGAGTCTTCACGTGTTATTGGCTCCACACTAGAAGTCAGAATTCACTGTTTGGGCAGTCAGGTTGAACCCTTATGACCATGTTTCTGCCCAGAACAAAACGATTGGCTGTGGTTTGACCTACAATATGACTATCATCAGCTAGAGCAGATAAAATAGCAGATAAAAAAAAAAATACCCCTCTTATCATAGGTTTCACTTCCAGACAGTCTTCCTGTATGGAGGACAAAGTCTTTATCAAAAGTTGATGGTTTGACTATTTTCATCCATCTGTTAAATATACTGCTCATCCTTTGAGGGTCACATGGCTGATGAAGCGAGAGGCAGGGTACACCCTGGACAGGTTGCCAGTCTATCATCAGGCTGGTTTGACAATTTGTGATATAGAAATATTTTAGGAACCTTTAGGCCACAACAGTGCAGTGTTAGTTTTTGTGTTTCTCACCAAAACACACCAACATTTTAGCAAAGATGGCGTGGACAGAACTCTCTGTTGTCCTTGCAAAGAGAGAAGAGGTGAGATAAAGTTTTGCCTCTAAGGCAAATAACTTTACACTCAGATAGGGTTTGACACATTAGGAGACAGAAACGGTCACAGTATAGCATAGCATTTTCAAAAAACACTGTCAGTGGAAACATGACCTGTCCCTGATCCCTGTGTGTCAATAGCTAAATATTGAGCCATCTTGTGCCTGAAAGCCTCTGGAGTCTCACTGCTTTTCAAACCTTTTGCTCCCTCAAGTCATTGGCTTTGTGATGTATGTTAGTTGTTGCTGTGATTGTTAGTTCACTTGTTAGGGAAGCAGCATTACAAGCTACAGTAGCTAGGAGTTTCAGCACATGTGTTTTAATATTTCTTAGAGCGTGCCTGTATTTTCTGCGCAAGTCTTCATGTAAAATTTTCAAGTTGTAACCAGTAGTAATGTGTGAAATAAGATTGTGTGAATGTGTGTGTGTGTGTGAGAACAGGTTATCAGCAGTGCAGCCATCGTATGTTTTCTGCATGTGTGTGTGTGTATTTAAGGTGGGGGCTTGCTCATGTTCAGCAGTGTTGTCTTATCACTTCTACTGCAGCAGGAAACAGGAACAGAAATCGTTCGTTCTCAGGGTACAATCGGTTTTTCAGAAAGAGGAGGAGGACGGAAAAGTAACAGTAGCTCAGGCCTCTAGCTCACTCACATGAATATTAGGAGTCACTGGATCTGTTCTCCTCCCTTGATGTGTTCTAAGCTGCCAAAGACCACAGTGGAACAAACTTAAACCCAGACACAAGTCTATCTGAAGTGCCCGCATACACACACACTGGCAGGAGGCTGGTCCAGTATTCTTCTCTACTCTACACCTCC